TCTTTCCCAAAATAGCGGAAGAGTAGGATATATGGTCTGAAATCCTCTGCACTTTTTTTCACCCTTACTTCCTCGCAGGAAGACCAAATTTAGTTTTTGTATCCATTTAGAGAAATCTTATTGATCACTCCACAGAGATCTGCATGTTTATATGGTATTTTTTTCCCAGATCATACTGAGGAATGTTTTAAAATACTATAAATACTTCCCACCCACGTCAGAATTGGGCAAACTATCCTCAGAGGGTGTTAGGAAATGCTCAGTTGGAGGGCTCCATCAACTGTCCTGGAAGCTATACCCTGTAATCCCATGTCCTCCTCCCATGTGATAACAGCCCTAATGAGCTGCTCAAAAGCCATTTCCCATCTTTGATGCCGCAGCAGTAGGTCAGATGGAACCACCCTGTGGGCTGCCAGGCAAACTACCCAATGTAAATAGTATAATTGCCACAAATATTGTTGAGTTGCTGAGGAAAGATTAGTGGTCATGCAGTCACAAGTGCGAGAGAATGCAGTCAGAGAAACCATTTCCTTAATATGCAATACGCTGCATAAAAATGTTTTGCACTCTAAAAGAATTAATGAGCTGTTGCTTTCTGACTCTGCTTTTCTGTAGTCATAACCTGTTGTCATTCAGCCTTCCTCCTTTGCATCCGTGAATAGCTGTGTAATCATTCATGCTTATTGCAAGTAAAAACAAGTGGAGAACTCTAACTAGAACATTCAGTCTCAACATTTAGAGATTACTGCTGGTGTTCACATTGGATAATCTGCCTACAAAACATACTGAATTTATCTAATCTCAATGTTCATGGCTTCTTAAGATTGATTCGTAGGCTAAATTAAACAAGTCCGTGCAAGTTGTATAAGGAAAAACTTACAAAATCTGTTATTTAGAGATAAAGGTTCTGTTTCTGTAAGGTGTAATAACTATATGAAGATTGCTATCTTTGTTTCTTGTTTCATGAATTGTGGTGGTGAACAAAGGTGTACTAGGTATGCTTAAGTCTCTTTCATTGCATAATGTTGGCAATAAGGAGTAAAGCACTAGCTGATTTGCTTTGCATGACTTTCAGATTCTTTCATTTTTTTTTTCATCCACTCCTACAGAAACCAAAGAACTCGTTAGCTGGATGAGAGGACATGAATCTTCAGTGTCTTCCATCTCTGTCCATGGCTCAGGCAGGTATGCAATCACCACGTCCCCTGATACAGCACAGCTCTGGGACCTGGACACCTTTCAAAGGAAAAGGAAGCTCAACGTTCGTCAGTCTGTGGGTATACAGAAGGTGAGTAAAGAGCCATTGCTAAAGCACAAAACAAGCACAACCGGGTGGGAAAAATGCTGCGTTTTAAAATCTCAGTACTTGAAAATACTTTTTAAAATACTGCTGAATCTTTTCTGTGTTCCTTGGACATAGCTCCCATCTCATTGCCCAGACTCCTGGAATCACAACACACTAGTCAAACAGGTCTGCTGGGAACATTTAAGGAACCTCCATTTTTGGCGATACTGAAAACTAGGCTGAGTTTGACCCTAACCAAGTCAATCTACTCTGGAAGTTGGTGTCACCTTCTAGATTGGTCCTGCTTTGAACTGGGGGCAGGGGAGCCTCAGAGGACCTCTAGAAATCCTTTCCAACCTAGGGATATTCAACAGAGGTGTTTTTTTTTTTTTCAATAATGTTAGTTTAAGGAGTCACTACAATTTACTTGCATCTTATTTTAAAGCTTCTCCCCTTCCTGTGTGCTCTGATCATGCCAGCACTGAATGTGGGAGCTAACAAAGCTGAAAAATAACTCAGCAGAAAGAAATTACTGCTAGTGACTACTTTGGTTCAGTTTGCTGAAACACATGCCAGAACAACTCAAGGAGTCAGAAAGAATATGTTTATGTTGAGGAGTGGTTTATGTAGGTCTGCCATAGCATTATGCTGATTTTAATGGGTCTGCCTGTGCCACCAAATGTCAAACCTTGGCATAAGCAGTACAGAAAGTACCAAAGCTGTCCCCGAGCATTGCTTACACGTGCTGCACTGCAGGGAGTAGTCTTACAGACACCACTTCAAACTGGAGAATTCCTCAAATGGGTCAGTAAAATTCCCATGCTGGTTTTGCAGAGGACCAGGGTGTCATTTGAGTGTCTTCATGTTCTAGGTCAAACAGAAATTCTGTCAACCTGAAATAGTCACCAAGCGATTTCCGTGGGATATTTTGTTTACTGTTTGCTGTTGTTGCTTTATTAAAGTTGTTCTGTAGTGCAGGCAGGTCACTAAAATAATTATCACATTTCCCTTCAGAGATGGATGCATTTATTTGGCGGATAAATTTTTCTGACACTCCATATGTATATCTTTGTGTAGACTAGGTGTGTGTGGGGTTGGTTCTTGTTGGCTCTTGAAATTTGGTAGGATCAGGATGTTTCAATATAGAAACAACTTTTAAAACAAAACAATAATGGCTGTGGTTCAGTGAATAAATCACTGTTTAGGGAATCAAAAGCCTGTGGTTTTCTTTTGTCTCTCTCATCCCTGGTGTGACCTTTTGCAGCTTATCTGGATCTCGTTTTACAGTCCTTAAAACAGAGATAATGATGTTTACTCCCATGCCTTGATTTAAGACATGCAGATAAGTGCCAAATCAAAGATGAGATTTATTATCAGGCTGTAGCTGGTGACAGTGACACCCAATGTCCAAAGTGCCATTCTCACTTGCTCTAGGAGCCTTTCTGGTAGTTTCCCACAGTGAACTTTGGGTGGTCTCTTCACGTGACCCCAGTTGGCAGTCCAACATACACCTTCTGTACAGTCAGTACAGGGGCAGAGCTGATTAGAAAAGACAAAGATGAAAAAAGACAGATGAAAAAGAAGAGCCAAAGAGAGGACATTTGTAATGATGATTTCCAAAGCATCACTACTACTCAACAGCAGCTAGAGTCTTATCTTTCTAAAATAACTGTTCTGTACTCCAGCTTGTCAAAAATTAAAATAACTTACTCTCGAAACAACCTACAGACTTTTTTTTTTTTTTTTTTTTGAGCACAGGAATTAAGAAAAGGTAGGAATCATCTTGCCTAACTTCATCCATCTGTATAGATAAAATTCCTTGTCCAAACTTCCTCAGATTCCCTGAAGAAGGACAGGTATCTCCACAGGGCAACTCAGCCCATCTGAATAGGAATGAACATGATAGATGAGGTGACTCTCCCTCTCACAGGCAACTTTTTCTCGTTCACTGCCAAGTGACTAATTTGGGCTGAATATCAGACTTGTAGTCGCTAACATTAGGCAGGATGAATCCCATCCCGCATATCTAGATTTACAATTTGCTTCAAGGCCCAAAGATATCAGAACAGAACTGTGCTCTTCCTAGCACTGACTGTGTATCTCACCCTGTGAATCCTTCAGGCAGACCCTCAGTGCTCAGGTACCAGGAACTATGTTTTGACTTTAACCTTCAAAGTTGTGGATAGAGTGATTCTGTAGGAGCTGCATGTGCTGTTGCCCAAATAGAACCTCTGATCTAGAGCGGTAATTTGTCATCCAACAAGAATGTGTCTGATGAAATCTGAACATTTAAATAATTCATTTTTTTAATGGAATGAAATTACGTATATACAGTAAGCATGTTCAGAATAATTAAAATGCATATCTAAAACCTTTTTGTTATTGTTTTCTTTCAACGTGGCAGCAAAAAATGCATTTCATAGATGAAGACTGCATTGCTAAACTGTCCATAATGTTTTTTTTACTCCATTAAATACCTATATGTAAACCTAAGAACTCAAGTCTAAATATAAAGTGCTCCATGGAGTTCATCTTCAGGCTATTGGTGCTGTTTGGAAACTGAAGCTACATTTCAGATGCAGTGAGCAATTCAAAACCCACCAGTGCAGAGAGAGCGCCGTTTTCTTCCTGTTCTCAGGTAGTTATTGACACTCTTTATATCATGCCCTGCCTGCCACTCATCAGAATCCTGCACAAGCCAATTTAACAGTCAAAAAAAATAACCCAGAATAGACAGGTAATTCTTTGGGCTTTCAGCAGGCTGAACTGGCTTACCAAAGGGTGCAAGTTCTGAACCAGTGCAAGGGAGCACTGAGCAGGGGAAGGGGACCTGCCCTCCCTGCGATCTCAGCCCTCATTCTCCAGTTACAGGAGGTTAAGATCCCCACTGTGGTGGTTTCTTGCTGTGTTTTATTCCGTCGTTCAGTTTTGTCCAGTTTAAAAGGTACATTATGAACAACTTTATTCCATTTATTTTTCTTCATGTTCTTTCAGGTTTTCTTTCTTCCACTAAGTAACACCATCCTCAGCTGTTTTAAAGATAACTCTGTTTTTGCGTGGGAATTCGATACTCTTCAGTGTAAATACCAGCTGCCAACTCCAGTAGAAGGTTCTGTATTGCTTTATAAGGTCTTTGCAGTCACCAGGTAAGGTGCAATCTTAAACATTCAGGAGGGTATAGAAATGACAAAAGCTGTAATTTTTTTAAAAAAGCTTTACTGCTTATTTGCAATGGAGGTATTGAGCTATATGCTCAATATAAGCCTTTGAACTGTGCTATGACTGATCCTTTTGGCAACAAATCACATCAGTTTATATAGTACAATCCCTTAGCATTCACAGTCCCTTGAAATAAAGGAAATTATTTTTATTACTACTAAAATAAAGTTTAAATTCTCCATTACAAAAGCAAGTTTTATTATTTAGGAACTGTTTTGTTCTTTCAACACAGTATGAGAGGAATAGTGATGGATTTAAAAGTAATCAAACGTCATAGAATGAAATGCATGATTTCTCTTATTTTGGTAATATAGTATTCTGATGGAAACTTTGCCTTGTTTGTGATCCAGAGATGGCCGGATTTTTGTAGCTGGCGGAAAATCCAATCATCTTCACTTATGGTGTTTAGAATCAAAGCAGTTGGTGAGAATAATCCAGATGCCTACAAAAGTTCGGGCTGTCCGTCATCTGGAATTCCTCCCTGATAGTTTTGATGGGGGCTCTAATCAGGTCAGTTTTTTGCAGAGCTTAAGACAGGAATATTTGTTTATTTGATTCAGCACGTGCACTGTGAGGGGGTTTTGGGGACAGTAAGGGGGTGGGCAATATGCTATAGAAAAAAACCTCACTACCTTAAATATTTGCTCACCCGCCTTTTAGCTTAATGAAATGTATTTGAATGGAATTTCAGATTTTGATATTCCTCTTTGCTTTGCATTGTCAATACTCATTGTTGGATCCTTTTATCTTGTAGGTCCTTGGAGTGTTGAGTCAAGACAATATTATGAGGTTTATCAATATAGAGACATGCAAACTTCTTTTTGAAATTGGGAGTTACGAGGAGGGAATTAGTGCAGCAGCAATTAGCCCCAATGGACGTTATATTGCAGCAGTAATGGAAAATGGAAGCCTTAACCTATACAGTGTCCAAGCTTTGACTCAAGAAGTAAATAAGGTAGTGTTTTACATTTCTTGTAACAATAGGAAATGCCATTAAATATCATACTTGTCTGCAAGATTTTCATTTCAGAAAGAGTTTGCTAATATCATTGGCTTAAAAGTCTTGGAGGGCTGTGTTTAAAACTACAAAGATTGGCAGAGTTCCCATCGTGTTGCCAAGTAGTGGCAAGTAATGTGATGCTTTTAGAGTACATCCCTGTAATTCTGTTTTCAGGAGGGATTTCTTTCTACAGCAGTTTATGTGGACCATTTTTATTCTTTGTAATGATGTTATTGAGGGGAGCAGGGGTGGAGATGAGAGGATTGTGCTGCTTCTATTCCATTTTCTTCCAGAAGTAGTTTGCAACTGATGCTTTTTTATTTTCTGGTACAAGCTGTCTGGTCTTTATTTATTTATTTATTAGCTATGATTTTGTTATTTTTAATGCATTATTAGATACTAGAATACGTCATTATGGCACAATCATCTTCCTAATCCTTCCTAAATAACAAACATTTTAAATACCAGTTCTTATTTTATTAAAGTAACTTATTAATGAGAGCCTAGCTTCTAAATCCAGAATTCCATGTATCTTTAATCACCATGTCTTTGAAGTAACCAGCTTTGTACAACAAAAGAGTTTGCACTGAGGAAGAGTGTGTACGAGGTTGCAGGTCAGGCATACATTTCATTTGCACTTTTGCTGCTGGGCTGACATGATTTGGGATTGTAACTTGCTTTCCCAATCTCCACAATTCAATTAATACCTACCTGACAGTGAAGGTTAATTAAAGTTTGTAAAGGTCTTTTGTATTCTCTTTTAACTGGTGCTATAGAAAGATCTTTCTGTAACACTGAGAAACACACGAAAGTAAATTAGCCGAATACATGATACACTTGTGCTATCCCAATTGTGTTTTAGTGTTTGCGAAACAAGAATATATGTGATGACTGAGCAGGAGTTTGGAAGCTACGTAAACCTTCTCATAGTCTTTCTAGGTTATTACAGCACATTTATTCACTTGAGTACTTACTCTGGATTTTGCAGTCCATATATTTTTCTTTCTGTTATAAATATTTATCTATTGTTCCTGCTGCGGCTATTGGGCTCAAGAACATTGCATGTAAAATAGAGTAAATATCATATTAGAATGACCTTTAGGCTTTCTCACAGATGTTAACTGAGTTATTTTCATTTAATACTAGCCTCCACCACCCCTGTTCAAAGTAGTGGAAGATTGGTCCAAGAACAAGTTAGGGGCAAATAAACTTACAATGAGGGTGGCTTCGGGAAGGTCAGAGCGCCCTTGGAAATCCAGAGGAAGCAAAATTGAAACCAGAACACTGAAACCACAAGCAAACGCATCGCTTGAAAATAAAGAGGTAGGAAAAAGTTGCAAATATTGTGTTCTCCAGCCGGCAGCATTTGAATTGCATTGCAGAAAACTATCTGCTTGGTTTGGAAAGCAAGTTCAAGCACTGGCTGACTGTTAACGCTTGGACAGAGAGGGGATTAGGGGAGTTTTAGCTCTTTCTTCCGCTGTCTTAGCACATACTGCTGCATCACGTGGCAGAGCCAGGGCTGTGGAGCTTCTGCTGGCCCAGCTAGGGGTATCTGAAGTTACTAGAACCACGTGTGGATGTTTGTTAAAACTGCTCTGCTTCTCTGCTAGCAAACTACACTCCTAAAACTTCTGTCTAGAAACCACATGATTTTTGATATTATTTAGGGGTACATTATTGTTCCATTTCTTTCCCTTTTCTCATCACTGCACTATTTTCTCTCTGGTTCTTTATCCTGAGTGTTATATACATTCTCCTTACAGAAGCATTCATCACAAAATGATCCGTTCCTTATGTTAATATAGTTTGGCTATAGCTATCATTTAACTTTATAGAGTTTAGTCATTTGGGGTCTCATCTGTTTCTGACTGAAATCAGTGGCTGCTGCTTTGTGACTACAGTAGAAAGCAAATGTTGCTGTTAAAATATCTAAAATGATGCAACAGCAATATACCTAACTTTTTTTTTTAACATGGACCTTCAATGTTTAGATAATATATCAATTAAAACACAAGAAAGAAAAAAGATTATGAGCAGAAATACGTACATACACTGATTGTTAATTTCCTGTTTTTTAGAATGAGTTGCCAGGTGGATTAAACAAGAAACGTCTGCAGGCTTTGTTGAAAGGATTTGGAGAATATCCAGAGAAATACAGGTAGGTCTGTGTGCATGTCTGTCCTTGCATAAAAGCAAATTGCTTGTGCTCCCTGGCCTATGAAAGAGAAGTGGCTCAACCAAGTCCTTATTTTAATTGCAGGATGTTTGTTTGGCGTTCCTTATTGCAGCTTCCTGAAAACCACGTAGCGTTCAGCAGCCTGATAGATAAAGGCACCCACAGTGCCTTTGTGCATATTCAGAACGAGTATCCCATTAAAAGTAGGAAACTGCTGAGAGTTTTACAGAGGTAAACATATATTTTCATGGATTGATTTGAAGTATACCCCCCAGCTGGAAGCAGTTGTAATGAAAGAGTAAAGTGAAATAGTAGTGCCTTAATGTACTTTTACTTGTATATACAACATCTATGTATTTAAAGTTTAGTTCTCTATACAGTTATAATATGTATGTAATATTTTTCTTTTCTACTCCTAATATCTTCTACTCTTTTTCTTGTTTATATATATAGGACCTTATCTGCTCTAGCTCACTGGTCTTCTATCTTTGGTGAGACACCTTATATTCCTTTGCTAGCATTCCCATTTGTAAAATTGTTTCAGAACAACCAGCTGATCTGCTTTGAAGTTGTTGCTACTGTAATAGGTAAGCAAAGATGTTTAAAATCCAATTTGCTGAAAAATATTTTTGTGCAAATAAGCTTTTCTTGATAAACTGAATAAGGTGTTTTCCTGACAAGTCACCAGAGGTTCCCTCTTAAATATGCTCACCAGGAATTAATATATAGTGGCTGTGTGTTTGAAAACCAAAACCTGTTCGTAAATCAAAACAAGATATTAGACTGCCTCTGCACTGCTTCCAGCAAGAGCTTAGCAGTGTAACAGTATTTTTAAAGTCTATTCAGTAAAATGTAGCAATGGGTTAGGAATATATTGTAAAGAAGAGGAGGAATGGGAGCATTTTGAACAGGCTTTGCTGCCAAAGACTCTATCTTAAAAATTCGCAGCTGTTGCAATCAAACCTAAAGCATTGTCAGGAGTCTGTCACTCTGGATTATAATGGATTGTGTTATTTCTCTTGTAGTTAATTTTTGTCAGCACTGGTTTGAGTATTTTCCCAATCCTCCAGTTAATGTCCTTAGTATGGTGGAGAATATTTTGGCACATCATGACAAAGAGCTACTTCAGCATTTGGTAAAATACAGTGTGACTTCGCAGGTAAAATTCTAACCAATTTTGTATACGAAATGTCATTGCAGTGAATGATTAGTGCACTAGTTTTCTATTTTGACGTGGTTCCTTTCAAGGGTGTTTTTGTGGAGTAATAGTTAATGGTCATGTGTGTGTGACGAATATCTCACCACTTTCCAGCAGCTTTTCCTTTTGCATGAAGATAAATCCTCATGTACCTGCTACTGTAGTTCATAGAAGTGCTTTGTTTTCAAGTGCACATTGTTTGAAACATTACTGGTTGAATTACAAACGCATTTTATTTTTCTTTTTTAGGAAGGTGGACATAGGTGTGGTGAATGAATTTAGTAAATGAGGCAATGCCACAATTATATATGTTTATCATTAGGGATGATTTTAGCTTTGCAAATATAAATGGAAGATTTACACCTCCTCTATTCAAATCTTCTGGCTTAGTTCCAGTTTGTCTTTCATAAATAAATAAATCTGTATTATAAGACAACAACATTTCATATAATTCCAGCTAAAGGAATAATGAAATACCACTAACGGGTTATTTTGTTGATTTTCCCAAATAATATAGGTTTATGCCTGGCCTCTTCTAGAAACACTGTTCTCTGAGGTTCTAACCAGAGAGGAATGGCTGAAAGTCTTTGATAATATCTTCTCCAACCATCCTTCATACTTTCTAATGATTGTTGTTGCCTACGTTACATGCTCCAGAGCTGCATTGCTTCACTGTAATCAAATAGAGGATTTTGAGGTAAGCATCTTGCAGTTCAAGACAGTCATCTGAAATTGTAGCTACAGAAAGGTGTAAGCCATCACATCTGGTTTTGTGGAAGTTAACTAGAAATGTTTCAATTCCATACTAAAATATTATTGCATGTCTGAACAATGTCATTTACTACCTGGCCAATGTGCTATAAATTAAAACTATTGAGCAGTTTTCTGCAGTTTCATATAATATGACTGTCTTTAAGCTTTCATGAGGTTTCTAAAGCCACTAGAAGTCATTTTGTAAATGTGGGAAGTTTATCAACCACAAAATTATTATGTGTCTTGCTTGGGAATCTAGAACTGACTTTGGAGATAAAAGACTATAGTTCTGTCTTATTTCATTATTTTCCCTTCTGATCTTGGAGATAAAAGACTATAGTTCTGTCATGGTCTTATTTCATTATTTTCCCTTCTGATTTGCAGAGTTAACAATATTACTTGACTTTCCTTGAAGCAAGAACTTACATTTTGCTTTTACATGAGAGAAAGAGCATTTTTTGTATGATGATATCTTTATAGGCAAAGAAAAAAATGAAATTTGAAAAAAATGCTTTTCAGCAATCAGTTTTTCAGACATCACATGGCAAACATTATTGTCATATTATTTCAATAATCGATAGACAGATTTTCTTTTAAACGTCAAAAGTCACTGAGATTTACCCAGTGGTAAAAGTGTCTGTCTAGGCAGTTGGAATACTCTAAAAATCACATCCTAGACTTCCACATCTTTTGTGTAAATGTAGTTTGGAGAGAAGAAAAAGAGCCAGAGGATGCTTTTCAAACTTGAAAAGTTTTAGATTAAGTCAGTTGAGACAGTAGTTTTTAGCTAATGGTTTTAACTAATGGGCTAACTTAATAACCTCTTTATAATCCACATTTGGAATATAGACTTTTCCAATTTATTTAACTGTTCCTGTAAGGCGTATGAAAAGTTTGCGTAATGTTTTGTAGAATGCAAATAGAACCATGTCTCTTGCAGTATTTCTTTCATCATCGGAACAACTTGGACATTAATGTCGTGATTAAAGAAGCTTATCACCTGATGGAGTCTACCCCAGTGGACATCCATCCACAGCGTATGCTGGATGACTTCATGCCGCTCACAAAAGGGCAGTACCCTGTATTTAATAAATATCCCAAGTTCATTGTGGATTATCAAACTCAGGAACGAGAGAGGATCAGACAGGATGAGATCACGTACTTACGAGAGAGGTATTAATGGGAAAACTGAAGACCATGGCAAATTGATAGATATGATGTAGTGCCATTTTTCTATTTTAATGTGTATGCTTGAGAAGGAAGAAAATAATAAAGAAAAAAATGGAGACAATGATCTAAATAACTACAAAAAATAAGAGTAATTTGCCCTGCTGTGTTTTTAAGTTAAACTGCCAGTCATATCTTAAACCAAAAGTATTTGTAAATTCCCAGAAAATATTTGGCCTAAAGTCTTCATGCTTGAAAACTTGGAATTCAGAACCTAAATCTGCGTTAGCCTTGTAATGTGTAGCTTTGTCAAAGGGCCAGGAGTTACCAGCTTACCACTGAAATTACCTTGATTACCTTGGCACCGTTACAAGTCAGTTTGCCTTAAGAACATGAGAAGAAGCTTCATTTCTGCACTGGGCTGCAAGGCCCTGTTTGTACCGGCTGGTACCATAGCTCTCCTTTATGCTTTTATCAGCACATAGCGGGGATGCCATGCTCTTTCATGATATCATATTTCAGCAGTTCTTTGCTTGTAAAGTCATCAGTTCTTAATGTCTGGCTTTATGTGTGTGATCTTTCATTTAGACAGTTGGTGCATGAATTGGAAGCTAAAGCGCAGGAACGGAAGGCAGAAGATGAAGCCTGGTATCGGAGGCAGGAACTGCTTCAAGAAGCTGAGGAACAGAGGAGAAAAATGCTGCTGGAAGAAGAAGAGAAGCTGGCAGAACAGAGGCAGAGGTACTACTACATATTAAGTATTAGGGGCTCAGCTACAATATCCTGCTATTATATTTTTAACCACGAGTGAAGGAGAAATCACCACTAATTTGTATAAATTATAATATGGGAAAAGTGTGTGGTCTGGTAGATTGGATTTTGGTGTGGGAATAAAGTGATCTGGTTTGTATTACTGCCTTGCCCAAAGAAATACAGCAGAGCAGAGGCCAAGTCACTTGGTATTTTTGTCTCAGCTCCCAGCTTTTGTCCGTTCTCTTCAGACTGTGACTGCTCTTGGGCCACCAACTGCTGACTTTTTGCACGCTGACTCCAGACTAACACTGCGAATGTAACAGTCCTCGACAGTGTCAGTGACCTGTACATATTCCTCCATGGTTAATGGAGTTAGAAAAAAGACTTTTAACCATCTCAGTTGCTGAGTAAGGAGTTGCCATAGTACTGAAATTAATGCAGTAGTCCCTGCATTCTGCAGTTGTGAAGAGAGATTCTACATCTCCATAGATCAACCACAAGTAGTATTTTTCTTGAGCTTCTGTTTTCTTTCAGTTGGGTGTTTTTTTAAGAGGGCAGTGACCTTTCATTGCAAACTAGTTCACAAGATTGTGTACCTATTCCTGAAAGCAGTTAGATATTTTACAAATAAACATAGGTTTTTGTGCAGAAAAAGGTACCAAGACACTGGCACTAAGGTATAGTATCCAGTTCTGGATCACTGCAGTACTAAATTATTGCTTATTAAAATGTGATGGTAGCAGAACACAGGTTTTCAAAGGTTAATTGGGAGGGGCTGCCATTAAAGGACCTCTGTTTATCTATGATTTTAATTTTGTCTTGTAAATGAAAACTGGACAGTTACAGAAGGAAAGCATCTGTCCTAAGCATTACAAGTTAGAGATTAGCTCATAGGAGCTAGTGGGTGACTCCAGTGCAAACTTACACTCTTTGACGTTGACATTTTAGACATACAGGTTTCCTTGTTTGTGTTTATTTTGGCTTTCAAGACTAGCTGCTGTGAAAAGAGAACTGAAAGTAAAGGAGTTGCAGTTGCTGGATGCTGCAAGACGACGTTTTCTGAAATATCAACAAGATCAGCGGCAGATGGAGCTCAAACGACTTGAAGATGAAATTGCAAGAAAGGTTCAGTATTGCTCAAGCAATTCTTTTCTTGAAGGTTTATCAAGAAAAGTAAACAATCAAAAATACACAACTCAAGTTCCAGCTGAGATACTGTGATTTGTGAGCATGGAGATGTATTTAGCATGAGATGGATGGCTTTATGTAGCAAGTGCACATTTAACAGTCGTCTTTGGCACTTGCTATGCTCCACTGGATTGATTTAATTGCCAAATTCCTGAGAAAAGCCAAATTCATCCATATGTTGGCAGTGCTGAGTTGTGAGCCCGTTAAAGGACCAGCCAGTTCTCAGTCGTCTGCGGGCAGTAGATCCAGACTGCAAATTAGCTCTGCTGTTGACTGGGAGGCACCACGTGCCACTGCTGAGACCTGACTCTGCTCCTGCCGGGCTCCCGGCTCCGGCACCAGGATGCACAGGATGGAGCCAGAGCCTTTGAGGCCTGAGGGCCCAAGCTGATCTTCTGCAGGCCCTTTGCAGTGTCTCAGCACCACACTTTTCAGAGCACCGTCAGGGGACTGTAAGATTCATTAGCCTTGTACTTTTTATATCAGTTATTTTTCACTATTCATGGCATGTTAGAAAGTCAGCTTAGAGGTAGGACATGGCTTTTGTTTTTTGGGGTTTTTTGGTTTTGTTTTTTGGGGGTTTTTTTAAGGTTAAGTATTTTTCCTGTACGGTGTTTTCATGGGTTATTTTTCTTCTCAAGGCATCTATAAGAGAGCAGGAAACAGCTGCTGTTGCTCAAGATATTGAAGTAAGGCAAATGGAACTTGAGTCTCAAAGACAGCTTTTCGAACAGGTAAGCACAGGAAACTATGCAGATATTTATATTTAATGGCTATTCCTGTGCAGTTCTCAGATTTAGTTGCATTTGTTCAATCAGCCACTGTGGGAAAAAAAAACTGGATTTTTTTTTCTTTTTTTTCTCTGCTACCATTTTTAGAATAAACCTTGTGTTAATAATAGAATTAGAAGAACTTACTGTTATGCATTTTTCTGGGAGAAAATACCCTTATCTTCTCCATTTTGTTCTTCTATTCACAGCAGTCATTTTATTGCTGCAATCTGTATATATTTGTGCTCATCTAGTAAAGAGAAGTGAGGAACACTTAAATTCCAAATAAGCCTGTAACAATATGCTCATCATTCCATAAACTCCGTGATAACCAGGTATATCTGCATTTTCTGGAGAAATCAGTATAATGGATCAGTGTAGCTGGTCAAAGAATATCTATTTGCCAACAACATAATTAAGCAAAAAGGAATGGCTGTATTGAGGGGAAGATGTAGTTCTTTCCTCAAACATCTTTGTTAATCATGTCCCTAAAGAAAATTCCTTTTTTTTCTGTGCGTAATGATGTTTTTAATGATTCAGAGAGATCAGTTTAGTAATAAAGATTTTTAAATCAATAAATATTGTTTAAATATATAGTTAAATATTAGTTAATTGCTGTAAATGGTTGAAAAGCAGGGCTGCCAATAGAAGGCTTTAATAACATTGATTTTAATTAGAAATGGTAGCTTAAACGTCTAGAAATTACAGCTGTCTATGCCCATCTTGCATACATGTAGATCCAACTGCATCAGAACTAGTCTTCCAAAATACCTTACCTCCTACTCTAAAGTATGTTTCTTCTTATATTTGACTTTTTAAAGCTTTTGTCCATATGGCTCTTTACAATCTGGGCTAAATTTCATCTTGTTTATTAAACACACAGCCAGCTGTATTGTGGCTACATAATGCAAACCAGGCTGAGCTTATTTATACTCAACAGTATATGTGAAGTCAGCTGTTTAAGAAAATTAATGCTACAATGATCATCCTTTTTAGGCTAGAAAGGGAGCAGTTATTTGACCAACTGAGGATATGTGTCTGTCCATAAGGGACTTTGTAGACTGGGCTTCTCTGTCCATGCCCTGACGTGCCTGGAAGCTGCTTTACTGCTATCATGAGGGGCGGTATCCAACCTGGCACAGCTGCCTCCACTGGGACCAGAAAGGGATCATGTCTGCAAAAAAAAAGTGTATAGATGTTCCCAGATCAATGCCAAGGGAAGGTGGTGAGAGTTAAAATTCTATTTCTTGATCTGCTGCTGATCCATCCTGCTTTGGCAGGATCAGCTCCTCATTCAAGCTACACACGTGTCTGTGACAAGTCCCTGTACTGTGAATCATGTTTTATATTTGTGAAGTGTTTTGAGGTTTTGGCTAAAATACACTGTCAAAGTACAGAATATTTTTGTGATTAATCTGACTCACTTATGGTGAGTTTTGCTCTTAGGCTCTACTACGCTCCCCTGGGTGGAATTACATCCATATAAACCTGGGAGAACACTGTGCTGACTCCAGCACAGTGTAATTTCGAGCGGATAAAACAGCAGGGAATATCACTTTTTTGAACATCTGCAGTAGGTTATATATACAGTGGGATGAGATGTGTGTGTATATATTAAAAATACAGCTTATTGCAGTTTTACTAAATGTTAATGAACCAGAATTACAAATATGAAGTAGTAGTTCAATGACTCTAATTTGTGCTTGTGTGTTTGGTAGCATCTTATCAAAGATCAAGAGACAGTAATGCAGGAAGTGAAAGGAGAGATAGATGCGAGTCGAAGAAAGGCTGATCTGGAAGATCATCTTGTTCAGAAATTGGTGGAAGTAGATCGAGAAGAAAAGCAGAAAGCTCAAATGGTAAAAAAGTTGGGACTTAACATGTATTTTTTGGAAGTTAGTGTACTAATTAGTAATATTTACTAATTTGATAAAATTGTGAGAATGTTCCTTTAAACTTATTTCCCAATATTTCCTATATTAATAGGTAATGCTGGTGTGTTTAAAGTTTTGGGTTTGTCTTGCACTCGAGCTTTTAAAAAATCTACTAGAGTGTTCAAACAGCTATATATAATAGAGAATTTCTATAGTCTCAAATATTAAATTTCTCTTTAGTTTCCAGCAGTTAGGATGGCAAATGAGATTCGAGTGCTCTTCGTAATAAGTTATTTTCCTGTTAAGGAGCATGTTTTATTTGTAACCATAACAAAACAGAAGTAAGTCCTCAAGGGAACTTGCAGTTGGCAGTAGCTGGCAGGAAACTCAGCTGTAGAAGCTGTCTCCTAGAGATCACAATAATGACTGGGTATAGCTTCACATTAGGAATTGTTCAGATTTTTAAGCTCAGAACTTCTAACTGCACAGTTGGAAAAATAGTTGTAGCTAGCCCACTGCCCATATGCTTGGCATCTGCATTTATATTTTGTCTAGAAATAAGCATATGGGTCTGAATTTTTGTAAGCAGCCTGCAATTTATGGAAGCAGATGGGTGTGGGCGGAAGTATTGGCATTCAGGTACAAATCTGATGCTAATTGCACCTGAAAGTCAGATAAAGTCCCTGCCAGCAAAGCAAAATCCCCCAAATTATGGAGGGGATTTTTGCTTCATTTCAAGAGAGAGAGAGAAAAAAAAAGCACCCTCAGTAAAGGAAAGGATAAGAAGGATGGAAAAGAAGCAGAAAAAAAAACTACTTCTCGAGAAGCCAACGTGCTGTGATGAATGGAGGAGTGTCAGTGCAGTTCAGTCTCCTAGTGGGGACAGCTGAAGTGGTGACAGAGGGACAGCTCCTTTTGGCAGGAAAAGATCTTCACTCGTGTATAGGTAAGGCTGTGTGCTTGAAATAAATGCATTCCTCATGAGAAACATGTTTTATTAGGTAGCTGAGGAAGATTTAGCCAAAGCGGAGCAGCAACGCGTTGACACGGACTGGCGGGCGCAGGCGTCGCGCAGGCTGCGGCGCGAGGATGAGGAGCGGGAGGAGGGCTACAGGGAGATCGCCCAGCTGCTCCATGACAACCGAGTGAAGGAAGCCCAGCTGCTGAGGGCGCTGAGGGAGGCCGAGGAGAAAAAGGTGGTCACAGAGTCACACAACGGCTGAGGGTGGGGGGGACCGCTAGAGATCATCCAATCCAACCCCCTGCTCCAGCAGGGACACCTGGAGCACATGGCACAGGGTGGCATCCAGGCGGGTTTGGAAGATCTCCAATATTCTTATTTATTTTCTTAAATGGGACAGTCAAAGTGTAACCACACTTTGCCCATCGCATGCTGTGAAAGGAGTTTACCAGAGCTATTTTGTTGTAAGGACTCTTCTTTTGTATTCCTGATGGAAGTTTCTAGAAGCGCCAGAGAAAATCAGTGAGGATCTGGTAGCATTTTCTTAAGTCTTTGCTCCTC